CATCTTACGATGGAGAGTTAGATCCTGATCACTTACATATAGGTGCTCAAAGCTGTCTAGGACGCTCTACAGCATCCGATAGGTTTCGTCATGTCTGGCGCGTCTGAGAGAGAACTTGCCTATGGAGATTGGCAGCTAGAGCAGAAGCAGGACGTGCAGAGTCATCTCAAAAGGCACTAGGAAGAGATTCAGTTGTCCAAACAGAAGTCTGTGGAACCAGTTTAACCAAATGTATCCTGTCCTTCGTGCTGTTTTTAGATAACTAACCAACATATAACAACTATACCAACTAACCAACAGATAACAAACCTAGTCGTCTTGTTTAATTCCTTATGGGAATTCAGTATCCTTTGTCTACTTACCAGCAGTTAGTCTTCCGCTTATATCTTATCCCTTTAAAACTCTCCATCTGAATTCATTCAATGACACTTGAAAAATGAGTTACAGCCTTTTAAACACATCTGAGAATTGCCAGTACAACAATTGGCAAAGTACCCTGTGTGTCACACAATTTAGCACAGCTGTCTCCCATATCCATTATTTACATACTGGATTCACTAGCCTGTCAGAAGTTGCTTTAAACAAACCAACTAATTACTGGAAACTGTAAATACACTAACTTGGAATAAGGCTTTCCTAGGTCTTTTCTTGCTCTGTTAAAAATATCATGCAATATAACTGAATAATGTAATTGAACTATAAAATTTGAATTCATATTTAGATTTGAACTCCAAATTTCCTTATTATTTGGTGAGCCATCTCATGTGGTTTTAGTTTACTTCATCCATTATTAGTCTGCATCGTTTCAGTGAACTGTCAGGTGAAAAGTGATTGCTTGTGTCTCCTCGGTGAAGTAACAGTATTGCACTGAGTCTCAGGGCATCATCTGCAAAATGTGTATAATAATACCATGAAGGTATTAGCTGGTAAATGGATTCATTAATGGCAGTAAAACCCCTGTAAAATTGAAAGAAAAAATTTGTTTCAAATTTGAAATGCATTCTAACAAGCTTTACAGCACCTGGCTGTGGACAGAGGCTGAAAATTAATACAATGGATAAAATGAAGCTAGAAACCTTCAATTAAGTTAAAAGTAGTCCTGTGCAGGTCAAGAGTGCTGTCAGAGCATCAGGATCAGCATAAATTCAGAGTGAAATATTTGACGTAAGCCAGATGTACTCCACTGTGAATGCCCCTGTGTCCCAGAGCAGTAAGGAGAGTGAGAGGGAAGTTCAGCGGAGAGTCCCTGTCCAAGGGTCCAGACACAGGGGTTAGGAAAGCCAAAGCCTACCTGGAGATGGATCTGGCGAGGGATGTGAAGGGCAACAAGAAACGTTTCTGCAAGTGTAGCAGCAGCAGGAGAAAGTCCAGGGAAAATATGCTCCCACTGCTTGAATGGGGGCAGTGGTGACAAACGACATGGAAAAGGCCAAGGTGCTCGGTGCCTTCGTTGCCTCAGTCTTTACTGGTAAGGCTGGCTTTCAGGAATCCCAGGCCCTTGAGACCAGAGGGGAAGTCTGGAGCAGGGAGACTTACCCTCCATGGAGGAGGAGAAGGTTAGGGAATATTTAAACAGACTGGGCAGGCACAAGTTCAGGGGCTCTGACAGGGTGCACCTACAAGTTCTGAAGGAGCTGGCTGATGTCTTTGTGAGGCCACTCTTGTTTATCTTTGAAAGGTTGTGGTGATTGGGGGATGTTCCTGAGAACTGGAAGAAAGCAAATGTCACTCCTGTCTTCAAGAAGGAAGATCCAGGGAACTAGAAGCTGGTCAGCCTCACATCAGTCCCTGTGTACGTGATGGAGTAAATCCTGGAAACAGTTCCCTTGAGCAGCCTTCTGCGATGAGGTGACTAGCTCAGTGGATGAGGAGAGAGCCGTGAATGTGATTCATCTTGACTTTAGTAAGACTTTCAGTGCTGTCTCCCTTAACATGCTGAAAGACAAACTGCTGAAGACTGGGCTAGACCAGTGGGTAGTCAGGTGGACTGAAAACTGGTTGAACTGCTGGGCTTAAAGGGCTGTGATCAGAACTGCTGGGCTCTAAAGTGTTGTGATCCGTGGCACAAAGTCTGCCTGGAGGATGATCTAGGCTGGCTGTCCCACCTTGCCACCTGTAAGATGTATGGATACAGGGCACCAGTGCTGTTTCTGACAGCCTGAACTCAGCTGTCCACTGACCTCCAGTGCTCCTGTGGCCTGTGACACCAGTGCCTGTCTCAGAAGGACGCTGCGGTCCTGTGACACTGCTCCGAAAGTGGTTAGGTTGTAAGAAGGTAGGCAAGGCAGATTCTGCAAGTCCAGGTCCTACGTATGGCAGATAGGTTTGTGTGGCATCTGTGATAAGACAACATGGTTCTCTTTCTGTGTGCTGTTGGTAATAGCCTTGAGTGTAGGCTCCAAGCCTGCACTGGCAATGAAGTGTACGGAGTGGCAGGCTTTCAGCCCCTATCCCTCCTCTGGGGCTGTGTAGAGGGGGAAAGGCTAAATTTATGGTGAAGCGTTAGCAACCTCCCTCATCTAGTGCTACTAATCTCTGGAGAACAGGACACCTTTGCTTCATTAGGTGTCCAAGAAGCACTTTCAAAACTAGATAATTTTTTTCTTAAAAAAGAAAGAAAAAATCCTATTATGGGTAATACATTCCAGTTCCCTGAGGTTTTTCTTAAAAGTGTATTACATTCTAGTGGTTTCTGACTCTGCTTTGTCCTGAAAGTACTTCCTAAGGCTCCTTTAGTGCAATCAAACTACAAAGGTGTTTCACACAGCTTTGTGTGAAAGCAGAAGCCACTCCTTCAACAAGCTCTATGCTCGGGCATGTCTTACCTAAAATGGATCCTGACTTTGAGTAAAATAGTTATCAACCTGTTGTCTGGATTCAGGATCGGAGCTTCTTCCCGTTCATTCACAGGACTTGTTCGGTGAAAACTTTATCGCATGGCTTAAGTCACATCTGACTAGGTTTCAATAATGTCCTGTGAAAACACTTTTAGATTAAAGTTCTCAGATGAGCCTGAGTGAAGGTTTGCACGTAGGTTTACTGTAGATAATGTATATTACCTCTACCTGGTGCACAGACAAGTGCAAATTCCCTACTCAAATCTATACCTGGACAAAATAATTGCAGCTAATTAAAATTTCCTTATAGCCTCTTGGTGCAGTGACAGGCACACAGGATTCTGTGATCCCCAAACATGATTTTTGGGATGACTGTGCTACCTTGGTTCATACGATCTTCAGTATGGGCTCGTTTGTTCATTTTGGCCACATTTCCTTTCATCTGCTGTAGCGGGGAGAGGATCGTTCAGGGTTAGCGGACCTGAGGATTCCTTTATTAAATGGTCTCTTTGGCATGTCCAAAAACCTTTCCTGAGGTTCGATATTTAGAAGGAACCGGGCAATGTAGTTCAGACTGGATTTTAAGCTCTTAACACCAGCTCTTAACTTAGTGTACTAACAAGCAATTTTCATCAGGTTGCGTGAGCGTGCTATTGCTGTGAGATGTTTAAAAACATACGTAGTAAATACTCTTCTGTGTGTGCTGGGAGGCAGAGTTAGATCAGGAAAACTTTGTCCTTGACATTGGTACAATTGTGTTTTGTAGCACTGGAAAAGCAAGTGATAACATGCTTGAAACAACAAAACAGCATCTGGAGAAGCAAGAGAAAAAAACATTCAGAAAATAAGTTTGAAAAACATGCTTTTTGTAAGCTAATTGCAAATAGGTAGTCAAGACAGCCAGGGAGGTACAGCTGAAAAAAACAGATGGGCAGGCCAGGAGGACGTGCCACTTGCCGTATCATTTGACATGAGTTACACTCAGCATACTGTCTTTAAAGACTTTGTAAGGAAAGGACAAAAATCTTGCCTGACAATTTATCTCAGATATAAAGAAATACATGTCCTATCTATCAACAAAAAATTGAATACGGTTAGAATCAAGTGAATGTGGTTTCTGCTTTGATCTGAGCGGCCAGATGATTTCTTGGAGAGAGACCCATAAGCTGAAGCAGAGGTTCCTGGGAAAGGAAGCAAATCACCCAAGGAAACTGGTTCTTCCTTGGCAAGGCGATGTCCGTGTGGGGTAACCTTCAAAGTAGGTGTATGCATGTGCTATATAAGTGAGGGTTCCTGACAGGAGAGAGCAAATTCCACATTTGGACCTGGAAGGATAACACTTTTCACCAGCATATAAAAACTTTGACTATAGATGTCTGTTTTATTTAGCAGTTCTTTGGGCTGTTAAACGTTCAGCTCCATAGTCTTCACAATCATGGCACTGAAATGTTATCGAGGAATTAGAAATAGACTGGTGACTTTGAATTTAAGGAACAATTTTGGTTCCTGTGTGCAACATCAGTAGATCATCGCTCACTGGAGCATCTCCATTGACAGGGTTTTGGTGACTAATTAGTCTACCAGAAGCAGCCAGGTAATTCCTGTTGCTAGACTGACTCTACAGCCTTAATAGCCTACAGCTCTCCTTTACCTAAGTGCTTAAGTGTGTTCATTTACCTTTGATTTTCATAGACTATAGAATTAGGCTTACATTTTATCACTTTCATATGTGTCTTGCTGCACTGAAGCCTCACTAAGCTAACACCTTCTGAATTCTTGTTGCATTTTACCTATATATTGTCTGTTGATCTGTCAACGCATCTGAGGGCAATCCAATAGTTTTCTTCACAGGAAACACTAGGTGTTTTTTCACAGGAACACGTGCGTTTACACACACAGACACGCACGTTGCCGTGGAAGAAGATAAAGCTCTTGCAGTGCAGCATCTTGTTCCCATTGCGGTCCTGAAGGAGGGAGGATCTCTGCTTCTTCTCAAAGATCCTCTCTACTGCATTCTGAAACTACCACCTGAGGGAAAGCTTCTCTAGTAAACCTTCTGAAACTAAACAAAAAAGGTCATAAAATCCAGACCCTTGGGCCTTGTGACTACTCCTCAGCTGTACTGAACTAGGGACCTCACCATTATTGTTTTTGCCATTGCAGGATTCCCAGCAGGAGAACTGCAAAAGCCTTTCTTTTGGGGAACAAAGTATCCTAGGTAAGTACTGCACCAGGAAACCTCATACACCTGGAAACGGGGAATAACAGGGAAAGGTATTGGAAATACGTGTAGATGAAGAAGAGGGCATGGAGAAGGCGGCTGTGCTGCTGAAGACGACCGATGGGTAGTGCGCGGGAATGCTGTGTTGTCCTCCTGTAGGGAGGTTTTGTGTTCTTCCCTGCTGCGTCCTGCTTTTACTATTGAAAAAACAGACTTCCAAAACTGCTGCTTTGTGCGATGACTTTTCTTACCCTTGGGAGCTGTATGTATGTATTGCTGTTGTCTTAAACTAATGGCTGATTTCTCACAGGAATTGCTAATTAAGTGCGCCTGAGTGGAAGTGTTTCAATGCTATAATATGCAGATGCAGCAGTGTGCACATGGCAGGTATTAAAAGGAATTGTAAATCAGGTAACTAACTTCCTGAGCAGAAGTGAATAACCTGAGAAGTCATTTATTATCAGTTTATTGTTCACTTTCTGCTAATATCTAAGATTAACAATGGGCCTTCACCTGTTCCTGTTGAGGTGCATGAGAATATCTCCATGTGCATAAGTGATTGCCTGAGCAGGCCCATGTGCTACTGTAGCTGAGGAAGAGTAATTATAGGTCACATATATTTAAATTTGAAAAATCACTACTTCTGTGCTGTTCAAAACTTTCTGTTTTAGGGCAGGATAAGGCCATGAAAAGTTTCTGATGGTGGTTTCTGAAAGTTATGTTGCAGTTATGTAAAGCCAGTTACTGGTGAAACATATTGTTAACAAATCCTTGTTAAAAAAAAAAAAATTAAAAAAATCAAACTTTTCGAACATTGAGTTTGCCATCTTCCAATCTGCATGTGTCCTTATAAACAGGAAATTTGGCAATATACGTAGAGAGACACATTCAATTTAGGAGCAAATGAATTTGCATTCAAAGAGAATTCTTATGAGCCAGGTGACTTTCTAAGTGGTAACTGGGGATAGAAGAAAGTCCTTTCTTGTTAAGGTGAACTTATTTGCTGCTGTGGTTATTGCAGACCTGTTTCCAGCTTTGCCTTCTGAAGAGATTTCTCTGTACCCTGACTTTCTGCCATAGCGATAAAATTGTGGTTCTTTCAAAGAATTATACTTTGCTCATTTCTCTTTTTTAAAGGTTACCTTAGCTTAAATTGGTTTTGCTTGAGTACGTATCAAAATGAAATTTAGTAAACAAATGTAACTGGTTTATATCAGACAACAGATTGACTTTGTCCTTGAAATATTCTGGATCTATTTTCTGTCTGCTTAAAGGAAACAGTACATAGCACTGGAACAGAAAAATCATCAAAAAGTCATCAGCACTCGCTGGAAAACAGATTTAGCAAATATTTAACATTTAGTGGCATTTTAGTGTCCAGTTCCAGCATAACCACTATAAAACAGTTACATCTATTTGTTTAAAGGGAAGCTAAGTTATCACTTTACATCTCAGTACATGAAATAAAATAGCATTCAAATGTCATCATTCATAGTTAAGAGTCTTTGGTGCTGGATATATTGAAATGAGACTTCAAACCTCCTGAGTTGGTAGCTTCCTTACAGTCCTCTGAGCCTCCTCGCTGCCAGAACATTTCCCTTTGATGTGGGATCTGTTGGGCCGCACCTCATCCCCTCCATCTCTGTCCCGCTGTGCCCCAGAAGGGAGGAGCATAAACAGAGCTGGAAGCATTTCTGGCAAAAAAGTTGTTGAGCTGGACAAAACTCTGAAGACCGTTCACAGAAGCAAAGGCCAAACTTCACCCCATCTTTTGGAGCTGGGGAAAGCCCTAGGAGTGCCCAGGCACCAGCCTGTTCTTTGTCCCAACCACTCGTGGTGGCCGAGAACCTTAGAGGAATAATAAGATGTATTGAGCCGTTCTCTTATACTTCTCCAGCTGCAAAAGACCCTGTATAACCACTTCACTTCAGATGTGGAAAACAAGTCTAATATAGTACATTTAGTATGGGTAATTATCATTGTGTGCTACAGAAGATTACAAATTTGTCACACAAAAGGATGATAGATCCATTGCTGAAATGTATAATTTTAAGCAGCACTTTTTCGTGAAGGTTTGCAGTAATACTTGGGGGAGAAAAAAATGGTAGGGAAGATTTTATCACATGCAAATTACCTTTCAGGAAAGAAAAAAAAAAGTGAAGAATTATCATGGGAGCAGGGGGAATTAAATGATGTAATACTTTTTGGGCATGACAGAGATGAGCAATTAGTGTGCTGTGGATCGTTAGGTCCAGTAATAACATGTTACTTCAAAACACTCTGCCATTCTCCTATTTCAATACAATGTGTTAGAAATACTATAAGCTACTTTGAACTATGGCATCTCAATAACTGAAATAATTAAAATCACACAGAACAACTTAACAAATGAGAGATGCATTTAGTAGATCACTTCCCCCCAAGGTAATATCCACTGCATTTGATATAAAAAAAAAAGCCCTGAACCTTTCCCTCTTCCATCCCTATTTCTCCCAGATGCATGTTTATTTGGATATAACAAGGAAAATATAATTAATTGTCAATCAGGAATGCAAATTTTTTTTTCTGTTCTGTTTCTCCAGTGCATTAAATCTGACTGTAGATCATGTCCTATTCCTGGGCAGGTGCAAGGAAATTGTATAACCTCTCTTATCAGAACTGAAGGGAGATCTGTTTAGTGCTTTACAAACTAGAGTCAGTCATTTGTAAGTCTGTTGCACGCCAGTGAAGAATGATTGGAGCTGGCATTACGGAAGCCCACTGCAGCCTTCATCTGTTCTTTTTTTCGTGACGACACTAAGAGAATAATTTCACCTATAACTTTGTCCTGTTCTCGGTTAGAATATACACAGTGCAGTCAGCGGAAGGAGACACTTTGGAGCTCATATGATGCTAACAAGGGATTTGGTTAGAAGAGTGAACTATCACAATGCTTTTTAAAGCTTTATGTTAAAGGTTGCTTTTAAACAAGTAAGAATTTAACATTCAGCCTTTCAACAACTTTAAGTCAAAATTGTGCAGTATGATTTTCAGACCCATTCACCCCCAGTTTAAATAAATAATGATCTTTCCTGAGGTCTTCTGTCCTTTAATCTCCATTTCTGAGGAAACTGCTTCTTTCTGTTACAGGTCATTAAGCTACGGTGCCATAGGAGTAATTGTTGGCCACGAATTTACTCATGGATTTGATAGCAATGGTGAGTATTTGTCTGTATGTTGATAACTTTTTTTTACAGAGTTGACAGATTAGACAGCTGACTTCTATATGCTTTAGCTTTTTTATTGTTTTGTTTTCTAACAGTGGTGAATTGTATGAAAAAAATTATGAAGTTCGTTTTTTTTTAATTTATTTGCATACAACCTTTCTTGTCTGAACCAGATTTTTTTTTGGTAAGGAATACCACAAGCTTGATGTTTTCTGTTTGTTTTGAATGGAAACTAGATTGGCAACAGATTCAGAAAGTCCTGGCTGGCGGAGTGGGAAGGGCAAAGGGGTAACTTCTGATAGATAAAAATTACATCCAAGAAAACTTTTCATTTCAGTTTTGACTTTTTTCAAAAGATAGTTACATAAAAACATTAAAATACAACACTGGAACAAAATTGGAACAGAATACGTATTGCAAAATTTTAAAAAAAAAAAAGGGGGAAGAGGAGAAGTAGCGGTCTGAAAATGTCAAACAGGCCTGAAAAACTGGGTGGAGTGAGGCATTAACACCATCTAACTTTGGCTGTCTCAGTAAAGTGTTTTTTAAAATTGGGCTCCCAGGCAGGGGGTGGCGAGATAAACACGAACAACCTCCTCCAGGGAGCATTGCTGAGTGTCTGACTGACATCCTCCTCCGATTCACCGTCTAGAGAAACCTCTTTCCACAGAAAATAGGAAAAGCAGGCTCCTAGCTCACTGCCTACCTAAAGTTAGGTGGCTTATACTGCGTTGCTTTGAATGCCTTTTAAAAAATAAAAGGAAAACCTGGTATCCTGGTGGCACTGCTCTGCAACACTTTCTGTCAGCAAACACTCCAGAATGGACATATGTTTCTTCACAAACTCCCATCTCATTTGTAGGAGAGTATCTAATCTCCATCATGTCTTTAGCCAGTTAAGAGAGGAACCCAAGATTTGATTCCCTAAGCAGACCACTACCTCTAGCCCAGGCTCTTACCTTCCAAGTATAGGAATAAATACATTTCTAGGGAATCTGTCATCTTGGAACAAGACAACAAACAGGGAAAAAATGAAGGAATAAAAAGATGAAAGAAAACATCTTTGGTACTTGGTGTCATGTCTACTGGTTGCTCCCTACCTCTGTCTCCTGGAGTCTTAATGAAGAATCAAATCACAGAGCAAGGCTCCATCAACATAGGCAGCTAAATCTGCTCTCAAAAAAAGTCCTAACTTGTCTTGTGTCTTGTGTCTGACTGGCTGGAGACATGATGGAGATTAGATACTCTCCTACAAATGAGATGGAGCAGGGACCTGAGGCTGAATCTTCCATGAGCCATTGCTGTAACCATCAGCCTGGGGAATGGGATGAATAGGGTTCAAATGGTCTGGTTTTGCTTCAAGACAAAAAATAGAAACCTCAGAAGTTTCCCTGAAATGGATTTTTTTTTTTTCTGGTCAAGCATATAATTAATTAATAATAAATTAGTTATCAAGTTTGCAGAATCAAAGACACATGGGCTGAGGATGAAAAATACTCACAATTATACTTACAAGAACGTTCATATGCCTCTTACACTATGTAATTATAAAATGTACTATAGAAGCCATTAGTCATCACTATTTTTTTCTGAAAATGGAAATTATGACAATAAATAGAATGCCAGCTTTTCACCACTGACTTGAGTGGGGTCACGATTTTGCTCACTGATCTTACCCATTTTGTACACACACTTGCATGAGTACATTCACCTCTCGTTTCTGTGCAGGTGATAGATTCCAAAACTGGAAAAGTATGGGGTTTTCTCTTACAAGAACACTTGTTTTCTTTCTTTCCTTTTTAAGGTCGGAAATATGACAAAAATGGAAATTTAGACCCTTGGTGGACAACTGACTCTGAAGAAAAGTTTAAAGAGAAAACAAAATGCATGATTAATCAATACAGCAATTACTACTGGAAGAGAGCTGGCTTACATGTATGTAAAATACTTGTGATCGAAAGCAGTGGTGCATTAAGAGTTTTGGGTGTTTTTTTAAAGTTACCTTTTCATAAATCCCAACATATTGGGATATTAGGCTACCAACTTCATTTCTCACAACAAATCATTTTTTGAAGTGAATAATTGTGACAAAAATTGTCTGTCAGATTTGATTAGTCCAGTCAAATACCACTACCCGCACCCTGGTGACAGGGTTAAACCCCTTCTCCCCATCACGTCATTTTGGAATGAGAGGAAGAGGATGAAGCCATGCAGCAGGGCTGATCTAATTACTGTGAGTATGTTAAACGTCTTCTGAAGATGAGGCCCATAATGAAAACTGAGCAGTCACTCTTTTAAAAAAAAAAAAAGCATGTTTTATAGAATCCTTTAGCAATTCTGCCCATTATTTATTACGGCTATAAAATGGATGCATAAACCCTACTTTATTTCAGATTCAACTCTGCTGTTTCTTCCATGTGTGCATGCAGACCCAATTTGTATCTCAAATGAAGGGAGTATGATAGCAGTAGCTCAGAGAAAAGGACTGAGAAAGACAATGAAACAGAAACCGTTCCCTTGCATTTTCTATCAGAGCTGTGGGCTTCCCTGAAAATGTGCACATTATAGAAGTGTCCGAAATGAAGGGTAAATAGGATAAATCCCAGACCTTCAGAAATCTATAGCTAAAATTCCAGTAATGTTGGCTGGGACATGATTTTGATTTTAATTTTCAGGATAAAACACATACCCCACCCCCTGCTCAATTCTACCACCTCTACTTACATTTTAGAATCAGGAATACAATTACGTCTTTGCCTTTTGAGAATAGAGGGGTCACGTCGAATGCTTAGCAATAATTTTAACACTTTCCCCAGGCTGTTTATATTAGTCTCAGAGATACAAAACCATATTGTAGTCTGGTCTGAAGTTCAACAACTCAGACTTGAAGTACTTCATATAAACTAATTTACAAATAAAAATTCTCGGGCTCATTCCTGAATATCTGTACGACAAAAACTGTCAATACAAAAATACCGCTTAAGGTCATTAGAACCTTCCCCAAGGATGTCACTGAGCCCTTTCGATGCTCCTGCCATTGGCTTGGCCATTGCCTTTACCTTCTACGGTGTCTCTTGAGATAGAATAGATCTGAATTTCCCCTCCGGTGTAGCTACTGCCTTTGAAGTCTGTGGATGGGCTTCCTAGAGAGACCCTGTTACCCACAGCCTTGTCATCCACCAGGCTTTTTCCTCCTATTTCTGTGGGATAGCCTAAATTGCTTTTTAGATGATAGAAGAAGAATCTTCATCTTTTCTGCCGTATTTTATAGCTTCTGTATGAAGAGTTATGCTGCAGAGAGCTTTTTTGCCTGTTATTTACATCAATAATCTGCAAGTTTTTTACCCCTGTATGAATATTTTTTTATGGATAACAAACCTATTTACTCTTCTTTCTCATCTGGTTTACAGTAAAAATGTCTCCAGAAAAGAAGCATAATGAAAGAAAAAGTGGATATAGAAATAGCTTCAGAGTGCAGTAATCACATAAAGTCATCTGATCAAGTGAAGGGCTTACTGTGGTCCCTAAGCCCTGTCGCAAACTGTCTGCACAGAGCAGTCTCGGATACCTGACCCAGACCTGCCTGAGATCAGCAGAAAGACTTCTTCCACTTATTAAAATGACCTATGGCCCAAGTGCCGCTGCTAGGTTACTCTCATTTCATGCTCTGCGCCAGTCTACTTCACAAACCTATGGCAAGAAAAATGTATGAGTAGCTGGGCCAGGGAAAAAAGGCAGCTGGTGTGCGTGCCTGGGCCCTGGTGTCCCAGCACCTTTGCTCCTAAAAGCCTCTTTCCCCCTCCATCTCCAGCCCCCCAAGGGGAGGGAGGGCTGGCAGGAAAGGGGTGCGCTTTCCTCTGCTGCTCCCGTTTCTCCTTTATTACACCTTTGGGTGTAACGTTGGACCCAAGGCATCAAGCAAGATGCTTCGAGTCCAGTTTGGGCGTTCATCTGCACTGAGTGTTGGGGCTGTGCACACGTACCCGAGTACCCCCTGAGTCCTTTTACCTCTTCTCCCCCATTTTCCTCTCTTTTACCATCCTGAAACTAAAATGAGTCCTGATGCCAGCCCCCCGTACTCATCCTGGCAGCACAGCAGAGCCTGTCGTCGTTGGGTCTGCAGGCCAGCAGTGACCTTCAGAGCTCTGCTCAAAACTGTGCTCAATTACCTTGCTTATTCAAGGCATGGTAGAGAGTAAAACTGCTTAATCACAAATACAGTTTGGTAAACTGGGATCTTAGTAGGCTGGGTAATCAGATACAATGCTGCACTTGCAGAAATAAGGGTTTCTTCATAGTGATACCGTATTTGGTAATACCACGAGACTGGCTTTTTCACAAAGGTTAGATACTGCTGCTTCTCGCGAATATACTCTTGTTACTCTTGCTCTTGGAATCAATGCTGGGGAAAAGCAAAGGAGATTCAAGTTGCCGATATTTTTAGAGCACTGGATATACTATCAATTTCAATTCTGTCTCTGATAGTTATTTCACTGGTTTATGTTATGACTTAGAAGTTACTTTAGCATCCCAGTAAGAGTTATGTAGAGAAACAAATATAACCTTTTAGAAAAAAGTTTAAGAAAGGGGCTACTGGATCTCACATGTAACCAGATAAAAACAGTCTTCAGGGGAAAATTATTGATGCTCAGATCAAAGATCAGGGACTGGATTCTTGAATGCGTTCTATCTACTACATTTTGTGCTACAGAGATCTAGGACCAGAGCCAGGGTAGCTCATCATGGAAAATTGTTTACTGACAGTTTTCATATTGAAACCCGGTTTTCTTAACCAGAGATATGATGGCTGAAATTGGCTGAGATCATTCTCACCTTGTTTTATTTTTTTCCCCTGCTTCTTGAAACTGATCAAGAGGGAAGTTCAGAATTGGGCCAAGTGACTGATGTTCTTTCATTCTGCCAGGTGAAAGGCAAGAGGACTTTGGCAGAAAACATTGCAGATAACGGAGGTTTACGAGAGGCTTTCAGGGTAAGTAGATGGAAAATATCTGAAAGATAGTGTTATTTAAAAAAAAGAAGAAAAAGCTGTGGGAGGTTAGGCTCCATGTTGCTGAAAGGCACTTCTTATTTCTTTCTTATCAGGCGTACAGGAGATGGATTACAGAAAAGAGGGGAGGAGAAGAGGAACCTTTGCTGCCAGGCCTTGAGTTCACACACAACCAGCTTTTCTTTCTGAGTTACGCCCACGTGAGTAATACAAATGTGTTTCAAGTCCCCATCTATCAATCTGCACAATGTGCACTGCAGAGATGAGACTGATTTGTTTCAACAAGCTGCACCAGCCAAACCCGGACTTTCCAAGGTATAAGCAGAGGAGACTTCTCCCAGGACTATTATTTCTCCTCTCTTTTTCTCTTTGTCCTCATCTATCCATGGTACCAGAACTGCTGAAATTATTCTTGGTTTTGCACAGTGTTGTCACAGCAGCTTTCTTTCCTCTTGCATCTTCCCTCCACTACAAGGGTCTTCTTGCACATATTGACTCCTCAGCTGCTTTCCATTTTAGCTTCCCAAGATTTCTGGTGCTTGCAATATGCAGCAGTTTCTGACTGCTTCCACCATGGACTCCTGTTGCAAATGTACCACCACCACTCGTTACTAGGCATGTTGTTCAAGGAAACTAAGCAGCAGTGAAGAAAATCTTAATTTATTTTTTCCTGTCTTTGTTTGCTGTACACTAAATATGCTGTAGCAAAACTTTGATAGGGATGTGACTTTTTTAGAAAAACATGTAGAACAAGGGAGAGAATCAGAAATTATTTGGTTAAATGAGAAGTAAAAGTTGGCCTATAAAACTTTGCCCACCAGTTGAAGGAATGAATCATCTAAAACTGAAGAAACAGGACCTCATGCGACCAACCCTGGCTGAAAGTCATCTCTCTGCTGAGAGTCAGTGGAGCAGTGTATGGGTCTACGGCCATTGCAGTTTGACAGTATTGAGCAATGAAAATACTCCACTTTGGTTGTTTATGCGGAGTTGAGTTTTGCACTGTGTCAGTTTTTCTCCAAGAAAACTTTGAATCCATAGGGAAGATCTGGGGGTCTCACAGGACCACCGCAGGATTCGCGTGTCGTGGACCCCTGAGGGGAGGCATGTGCACAGTGAGAGCAGCGTATGCCAGGTACCTTTGAGCTCAGCCTGTTTCCAGAGCTCAACAGACTCATTCAAACTGCCAGGGCTGTCTTCAGCCAGACAAAATTGCACTGAAGTCCACATATCCTATGGGCAGTCTGGCTTAAAGGATTTTGTCGATAGGAAACATTCAACACACGGGCTTAGGTAAGGTAGAGGCTGCTTAAATGAGATTTTTCATGCAATGAGTACAGCATAAGAGGGATTATTCAGTTGTGCAAATATTCTCTCTACCCTATTTTGTAGTCAGTTACAATTGGGTCAAGTATCATATCAGGAGTAGTGAATTGGCAATCGCTGATGGAAACTTGAAAAATGTGTCATTTCAAAAGAAACTGCCATTCCAACATGGAACAAATATGTCAGGTAATACAGCTGCAATTCTAGAGATCATAAGCATCATTACATGTACCTTTTATATGCATTACGTAGCTTTGAGACCAAGAAGTATGCTTGGTAATTATTAAGGTGTGAGATGCTGCAGCACAAGCTGAAAAGCAAGCCACCGTTATAGAGAACTTCAAAAAAAGAACTATTAAAGTGGCTATGATTATATGATGGGAATGAGTGGGTGGGGAATAATAGTGGGTGGAGACTGGACCCATTAAGGGATTTGAAAAACAAAAGAATATACCGACAGAAAACTGCAAGTTAGCAGAGGTGAAACAAAAAAGGAGTTTGTGGTGTCTTTCCATTTTGTGCATTCTGTAACTAGTCACTGTTCTTAAGATGCCTACATTATGTTCTGCTTTACTTACAGTCATCCCAGATAACATGCCTATTTCTGGTTTTTATCTTTTATTGTAACTAGTAGGCATCTTAAGAACAGTGACATTATGTTCTGCTTTACTTACAGTCATCCCAGATAACATGCCTATTTCTGGTTTTTATCTTTTATTAGGTAAGATGCAACTCCTTCAGACCAGAATCTGCGAGAGAGCAAATACATATTGGAGCTCACAGCCCTCCTCAGTTCAGGTAGTGCAAATAACTTATTTACTCAGTATACATACAGAATCAATCACTGCAGCACACAAGTGCAGAAATTTAACATGTTAAGAGGGTTTTAAGAGCAAACACAAAATTGGACTGTGCTCTTGGCTTAGATTGAAATTTAACTGGTTTTGTTATCTTATCTTCTGCTATTACAAATACTCTAAGGTGAAAATTAGGGGCTTGCATCTACCTTCAAAAGCAGTTGAACCAGAACACACTCTGATCCCTGTGATGGCCTGTAATCATGGCCTGAGTATCTGAAATGTCTCATCTGTCACTTTTCTTTTTTTCCTATGCAATTCTAGTTTAGAAAACAGTGAATATTGGGAGGGTCCTTGATTTAATCTGCCCGAGTTCATTAAAAGCTTTAAAGTGAGTACCTTGAATTGTGTTGATAATGCAAAGCAAAACACTCCCTGTTAAGTTCCGTTCAAGATTAAACTCTTCAGTTGGCCTTCAAGAGACCCTTTGCTTGAAGGAGCTGTAGTAGTCCAGATCTTTCACTGGCTAGATTCTGGTTTTATTTAAATGGCAGATTTTCAGCATTAACATGTGTCTTTGCTGTTTTAAAATGCCGGTTTCAGAGTGAAATCGCTGGCCTGGCAGTCAGAACTCCCACCAACTCCAGCAGCAGTTTCTGCATGACCAGCTCTTGCTGTTCCAGTCCCTGTGAATGTGTATTTGCAACGTGTTTACAGTAAAACTGTATATCTTATTTGAAGCCTAACCTCATTTTGTAATTCTCCCTACAAAACTGACCTTTAGACATTTCTGCGCCAGCTGACTGCAAATTTTCTTACTCACAGAAAGTCTAATCAGTGTAATAAGAATGTTTTCTGCCATGCTGAACTATGCTGAGAAGCTGATTGTCTGCAATGGAGAAAAATGCCTTCCCGCTGCATAACAAAGAGGGTGGAAAGGCATACAATTAATATCTCAGTAGATATTTTTCTGCTTTTAATAAGGATGCCGTTTACCTTAATACCATTGCAAATTTCAGGTCGGTAAATTCCAAGATGTTTAAAAGCATAGGGAAGATCACCAAACACTACAATCGCAGTCTAGCAATGGTAAAATAATAATTTCTGACAGAATGAAACAATACAGGCACGAAAGCAGGAGCCAAGGACAACTGCATAAAATGAGCGAGCTCATTCCCTGTGCCTGAAGGTGCCAGTCTGGGATGCAGACACACTGTCTGGCTCTCATCTCAGGGATGTGCTGCTCTTTCACTATCGCACCATCTGCGGTGGAAGCAAGAGAGCCTGGGTCAGGGTGGAAGCATCAGAAAATGGATTTCCGAAATATCAGAGGAGCGGAGATGCTCACGGGTGTAAGGCTGAGCTGGCCGATAAGAGAGGCCCTGCCGGCTCCCCCGGCTTCAGGCTGCAAAGTCCCAGGGAGCCAGTGTGGGTGGGTGGGCATGGGTGGGTGGGCAGTGGGTGTTGTTAGAAGAGCGTGGCTGGCGTGAGCCAAATCAAACCGCTCCCAGCACAACCACAGCATGTGCTCGCCTGCTCCTGCCTGCCGGGCCACAGCCATTGGGGGGGTGCTGGGAGGATTCCACCCCGCAAGGCTACCGCGGAGCTCCCGCCTTTGCTGTCAATGGTCAGATTAGAAAATTGTTCTAAATGGCACAGTATCCACAAAATGCAATTGTTTTTCATTGAGTTTCTAGCAAAGTAAGCTACTTCTCAAAGCAGCAAATGAAACAAGATTGTCTTCACGTTAGCTTTAACTGGGAGTGCCTTTCCTGAACTTTTTGGTATTATTTGTGGAAAAATTACGGGGAAAGCCTGAAAACTCGATCTGAAGTGAACACATTGAAACACTTACAGACCTGTAGCGTTTAACAGAAGACAACCTACACATCGATCACTTTTCTCTTTGCAGAGTTATCGGTGCCATGAGCAACTTTGAAGAGTTCCGTAAAGCTTTCAGTTGCCCAACAAATACAACGATGAACCGCGGCGCAGAATCCTGCCGGCTGTGGTAGACGTCCCTGCCAGGTCTTCTGCTGAGAGGGGTCCGCGGTGTGAAGTGCTGCAGGGTGAGGGGCTGCACGTGAGCTCAAGCCCACTGGTAGAGTTTTAGAATAACATTCTGCAATCTGGAGAGGTTTTACTTCAAATGCATCTTCCTTACCCATGCTGATGACCTGCATGGATCTAATCACTCTCTATTCAGAGCCTAGAAACATTCAAAATAGAATAGGACAGATTTTCTTTAATAATAATAAAAAAAGGAACTCCTTTTATCCATAAAACTACTCCTGCTCATCTGCAGTTGCATTGCTGTTGATGGATAACTGCCATTATCAATTCTAATTCCTGATTTATAGTTGAGCAAGAGTAAATGCGAAAATCCAGTTTTAATCTATTGCTCTGCAGGGGTGCTATGCAGCATGCTCCCCCAAAAAATTTATTCTTTCTGGATGAAGAAAATCATGAGACCTGCTATAAAGCCAGCTCTGATCTGCGGTGTGATACAGCATTTTCATAACTTAAACTATCACTGCCCAGCATGCCATAAATGATGTTGCATGATGTAAAGACACAAGACTCTATATAAATTTGCTTTAATATGTCAGATTAGTGCCTCGGGTTTTGGAACAGTTTCAAGCTGAGAAAGCACCTCATGGTTTCCATCTGCTAGGACTAAACAGAAAGGATACTTGTCAGATCATGGCCTCTTCTAATTTTAGAACAGCTTATGTATCAATGTATGGTGAAAACCAGAGGCTTGCAGAGGGAATTCCCAGCACCATGATACTCAGACATATTCCAGCACTTCCTCCAGTTTACAGTGTGGGCAGTTTTTTTCCCAGTGATTTTTACCTTGTGCTAAAGGTAGCTTCACCTACGTTTATTTTTAAGCCTGAAATACTATACCAGTTTTAATTTAGGGATTTCTTAGTGTCTGGGTGTTATAGAGGAATATCAGTAGTGTGCATGTTTGTCCTCATGTTCTGGACAGAGCAGGGTGACTTGTGATTTTAACGACAGAAGAATATGTGACTGAAAAAAGCAGAGTACCAGCAGCATTTGACTTGTCTGGATAAAAAGAGCAATTCAGGAGTAGAGGACTTTCAAATACAGTATACATGCAGGCCAGTTAAGTTTTTCATTTGATTTCTAACAATATTCATAAAACCCCATATTTTATTGCAGCAGAAGTACTTTAAGAGATAACTGTTACTAAGGGAGGAAAAAACAAAACAGCCCTTTCTTCCCCAACGGAAAGATGCATATTTAACTGATATTTATTTATACCTTGTGCGTTAATTCATTTTTACATGGTAGAATTGTTTCAAATGGAGAGACAGTTTCTTTAGACTGATTTAATTACTGCAAATCTGTATATGTCTCTGTATGTGTATACTTATATATATACAAAAATATAGAAATTCTTCTATTTGGTTAAATTTTATTTTATCAGTATAGAAATGTTAGTAAGAGAAACTTTTTTTACAAAGATTGGTCAAATATTGCCCAACAGTCAAGGTGGACGAAGATTCAACTGAAGCAAAGATTTTGCAAATGGGGTTAGTTTCCTATGTTTCCCTATCAAGGAGGAGGACATCATGGAAACGTAATTTATGGAAGGAGATAGGCCCTCAAGCTACCTTCCAGAGAGAAGGAAGCAGACACTCCTGAATTCAAGGCACTGTTGCCGCTTCTTAGAAAGAAAATATTATGTTTTGGGAGCACAACTTTCTTTTTTCAGTTTTTCCCTGAAAAAGTCAAGGTTTTCTTAGGAGGAAAAGCGCTTTTGCCTCCTTCAAGCCAGCTCTGTTCCTGAGTTCCATGGATTACAGTTTGTCATTTTAATTGCCACTACTAAATCTTTTTCCTGGAGATATTTTTCAGATAAACTGTGATGGCAGTCTTTTTACAGAGACTTTCCTCAAACGAGCAGGTGCGGGTCTTGAGCACAGTGATACTGTTTGCCTACTAATGGGAAAGTTCCGCAGCAAAGTGAGTACTGTACGGAATTCATTCCTGTGCTCATACGAGCACTGACACAACTTGACGGTGGCTGCCTTGGATCAACAGCACAAAGTTCAGGGGTGACATCCTGGCCCCGTTAAAGGTAGTACCAATACGGTCGTTGTCCTCAGAGAAGTCAGGACATCAACTCAAACACTTATCTAAACTTTCTAAATTAATGGACTATGCAAAGCCGGTTTCACAACAGCCGGGTTTAAGTTTTCTAATTTTATCTCTCAGATCAGAGATGCATTTGTGAGAGCTCCTCTCTCATGGCTATTTTCCAGTGGGACAGATTCTGTTGTTTTGTGGTGTATGGGGTTGTTTCTCTGTACTGGATAGCATTTTCTTCTAAAATGCCTGATGTTTGCTGCCTTAAATGTCACTCATGCTACCCCTTGCTAGGCTCAGGTATTTCATGTTTAATACCAAGGATTTTTGAACTGTGGTATGCATATTCCCAACAGCACAGGAACCACTGCAAAACTGTTCCATCCTTGCAAGGGCACCTCCTGCAGCAGGCACGGGGCCAGGTCCTGGGGGCTTGGGGGCAATGCGCTAGGAGGGAGGAAGAGAGGGCATGACCAGATTTTGTACCCTGGTTTTAGCAGTTGAGAGGGGGCCTACACGCTGCCAGGGAAGCCAGAAGTCTTTGCTGCTGACTGGCTCATTCATTGGTAGTATCCTGGTTTGGGTAATCCTTGCTGTTGACTCAGGTTTTCAGTGCCTTGGGCTTAGGTCTTGCGTGTGCCCACACGAGGATCCTGGCCTGCCTCACCTGCCCACCTTTTACCTCAAACCAAACTGTGGCGATGCAATTTACAGTTCACTTTGGGGTCGGCTATTTTGGTACCAGCTGGAAAGCAAAGCAGAAGGTAATTAAAAACATTCTTTAAACTTGGGCACCAAAGATAGGCAAAACGTAGTGATGGCTTGTGAGGGCTCTTGCTGTTGCCTCTGTTTTATCAGACTCCGTGGCTGCGCCTTGTTTTCACGTTGTGCCTCCTGGGTCTGTGCTAGCAATGCCCTGCTGCCTTGCTGGCAGGCTCACTTACTACATCTATGCAAACAGATCCTCCGTCATAGATATTCTTCTCCCAGAGCTTTTAAATGGTTTGGGTTTTTTTTTAATTGCCAGTAATGTTGTGAAATGTTTCTTCCTGTTGGCTCGATAATCATCTTCTCTTCCAATGATCAGGAGGGGAAGGATCACCTATGAACGAAACATTTTTACCTGTGTAAATTTGAAGAGATATTTTTCTACTGTGTAGACGTAAAGAAATATCCTCTACTCCTGTCCCGTGTTCCCTTCTTTGGGTCCTGAAAATATGTAACTGTCTTTTTTCTTTGTCTTTTTTCTTTGTCTTGCCCAGCCCTGAAAATGCTTAAACAGCACCTTATACACTGTGAGTATTTCTGATCACATTGTGAAAGTGTTAGCTTTACACGCGAGTAGCTCTCTGAAAAGGCGGCTGTGCTATTCACCTGTGTAAACTGCTTAGGTACATAAATGATTTCCAAGCTGGGTCTGGATGTGAAGGACCGAAAAAACCAGTTACATTATAAAGCTCTGCCTCGTGCCCTGTGCAGGGAGACTTCAGCATTCTTTAGCTAGGAACACTATCATGACCCTAAATGTTTGAATTAGTTATACGTAAACCCACTTGATTATTTTATAAATTTTCATTGAGTATTATTCAACAAATTACAGGCTTAGACGTATATCTCACAGCAATGTTATATATAACTCTCTCTCTCTCCAAAGAAGTATTAAAAGCCTGACAACTCAAGAGGCAAAACTGTAGTGAATGAAAAGATCTTTTGTGTTTATGTCTTTTTAATCTGGATTTTTATTTTGCTAGTCAGTCTATTGTACTTTTTAATTTTTCTTCTTGTGTAATACGTTGGTTGACTGTTTTAAAGACAATTGTGTTAGCCAATAAAAGCCAAAGTGACAAAGAATTTTCCTGTGCTTGCAGTATGGCAAAAGCGGCTTGGCCTGTCGCTGTCCAACTCTACAATGTTACTTCTGTAATATATAGTCTTTATAAAATGTAATAAAGAGCATAATGACATGGCCCCAGGTTCTCGAGGCTACCGTTACTGTTTGACAGGCTAAGAAGGACTTCTCTCAGAGAGCGGTCTAGCCATCTTCGGCCAGAGTTCATTAACCTCCATTTGCCCCCGCTAGTCTGCTGGAGGCAATTAAATCGGACGTGGGATGGGCTGCCGTGGGCGAGGGCTGGATGCTGCAGAAGGGCAGGAGGGCAGGCGGCAGAGCCGTCCCAGCCCGGAGCCGCCGGGGCACAAGGAGGGGTGGGAGAAGATCCAGCGGCTCTCGGCCTCGCTCTTCTCCTCTTGCCCCGGGCCCTTCCTGTCTCAGCCCACCCTTTGTAGCCTCACCTGCTTTTCAATTGCTTTTAAGTATTTTCCAGAAGTGTTTTTAATAGCATAACCCTCGCACCATGCCCGAGCGTGAAGTGCAGCTCAGCGACGTCTCCCGGCCGGCACAAAGGCGCTTCTCTTCCTCGCCGCCTGACCGAGCGTTTGTTCAAGGGCTGTTTGGGCACAGCGGCCGTGCCAAGGCCTCGTACCGTACCGGCTTGGCCCTTCCCGGCTAAGTGCCC